GCTAAATATATGTCTGTGTGTGTGTGTCAGTATGTCTGTGTATGTATGTGTATGTCTGTGTGTGTGTCTGTATATGTCAGTATGCCTGTGTGTGTGTTTGTCAGTATGTCTGTGTGTATGTCAGTATGTCTGTGTGTTTGTGTCAGTATGTGTGTATGTATGTCTGTGAGTGTCAGTATGTCTCTGTGTGTCTATGTCTGTGTGTGTGTGTCAGTATGTGTGTATGTATGTCTGTGAGTGTCAGTATGTCTCTGTGTGTCTATGTCTGTCTGTGTGTGTGTGTATGTCAGTATGTCTGTGTGTCACTAAGTCTGTGTGTGTGTCTATGTCTGTCTCTGTGTGTGTGTGTATGTCAGTATGTCTGTGTATGTATGTGTATGTCTGTGTGTGTCAGTATGTCTGTGTGTGTCTGTATATGTCAGTATGCCTGTGTGTGTGTTTGTCAGTATGTCTGTGTGTGTGTCAGTATGTCTGTGTGTGAGTCTGTGTGTGTGTCAGTATGTCTGCGTGTGTCAGTATGTCTGTCTGTGTGTCAGTATGTCTGTGTGTTTGTCAGTATGTCTGTGTGTCACTAAGTCTGTGTGTGTGTCTATGTCTGTCTGTGTGTGTGTGTGTGTGTATGTCTCTATGTGTGTGTGTGTGTGTGTGTGTATGTCAGTATGTCTGTGTATGTATGTGTATGTCTGTGTGTGTGTGTGTGTCAGTATGTCTGTGTGTGTCTGTATATGTCAGTATGCCTGTGTGTGTTTGTCAGTATGTCTGTGTGTGTGTCAGTATGTCTGTGTGTGTCAGTATGTCTGCCTGTGTGTGTGTGTCAGTATGTCTGTCTGTCTGTGTGTCAGTATGTCTGTGTGTTTGTCAGTGTGTCTGCCTGTGTGTCTGTGTCAGAATGCCTGTGTGTGTGTGTCAATAGGTCTGTCAGTATATGCGTCTGTGTGTGTCAGTATATTTGTCAGTTTATGTGTCTGTGTATCGTGTGTCTGTGTGTGTGTCAGTATGTCTGAATGTGTGTCAATATGTCTGCCAGTATGTGTGTCAGTGTATGTGTATGTCAGTATGTATCTGAGAATGTTTTAATATGTCTGTCTGTGTGCGATGTGTCAGTATGTCTGTCAGTGTGATTGGGCGGGTTGGGTGTAATTAGGGGTTGGGGAAGGAGCAGGGCCCAGGGGCCCAAGAAAATGCTTTGCCCAGGGTCCCAATCATATATAAACGGCCCTGTGTGTGTGTGTGTATAGTGGATGCAGAGTGTGTCCGTGTGTATAGTGGATGCAGAGTGTGTGTGTGTATAGTGGATGCAGAGTGTGTGTGTGTGTGTATAGTACAGAGTGTGTGTGTGTGTATAGTGGATGCAGGAGGGAGGGGTGACACGAGGAGGGGGGTGACAGGTGACAGAGTGACGGAGGGGTGGCAATAAGTAAGTGAGGGGTGACACAGTGAGGGAGGGGGTGACAAGTGGCAGAGTGACTGAGGGGCTGACTGAGGGGGTGGCAGAGTTACTAAGGGAGGGAGTGGGTGACACAGGTGACAGAGTGGGTGACAGGTGGCAGAGTGACGGAGGGAGGGGTGGCAGAGTATCTGAGGGAGGGGGTGGCAGAGTGATGAGGGGGGTGACAGGTGGTAGAGTGACTGAGGGAGGGGTGACACAGTAAGGGAGGGGGTTGGCAGAGTGATGGAGGGGGTGGCAGAGTGACGAAAGGAGGGGGTGACACAGTAAGGGAGGGGGTGGTAGAGTGACTGAGGGAGGGAGGGGCTGACACATAAAGGGAGGGGGTGCCAGAGTGACTGAGGGAGGGGGTAACACAGTGAGGGAGGGGGTGACAGGTGGCAGAATGACGGAGGGAGGGGTGACAGTAAGGGAGGGTATTGTAATTTTAAAAATACCTTCATTTTTTCCACTGATGATGCACTGTCTTTAAACCCTGTCTCTCCAATCTGCACTGAGAGGCAGAGAGGGTGTGAGCTGCAGACTGTACAGTGTCTCGCGATATCCAGAAGTCAGAGCGTTGCCGTGGTAACCCAGAGTCTGCAGCTTACACCCGGCGGCTCTCTGACTCTCAGGGCAGACTGGAGGGCATACTGGGCAAGCTGCCAGGCCTCCTCCTGGTGTCAGGTCCTTGGTGAGGGACCGAGGACCTGACACAGTCTGCCTGCCCTATGGAGAGTTAGGCGGCCGTGAGGTCTTAGGTGGCTCCCTAACTCCCCTAATTAGAGAGCCGCCGGCCCGTCACTGACAGGTGCAGCAAAATGTGTTGTTTGTTCACCTGTGTTGGTTTTCCCAACTGCTCCCCTTCTGCCACTGTGTGTAGTGTAGCCGTATGGATTGTGGTCTGCCAGGAAGTGAGAGCACTTCCTGTCAGGCCGGGCACTTCCTGTCAGACTTAGTACTGCGGTGAGTAGGTACAGGAGGGGAGGGTGGATAGAAACATGGAGGGGGGAGGGAATGAGAAGCATAGAGAGGCTGGGGCGGGAGAAGGGAATGAGACACATAAAGGGGCTTGGGGGAGGAAATGAGGCACATAGCGGAGCTGGGGGAGGGAATGAGACAAATGGAGGGACTGGCTGGAGGAGGAAAAGCTGGGCGAATCTGGGAATTGTTTTGAAATTATCTGCTTGACGAACAATTGTCTCAGGAGGTCCACTGTGGCCCTAGCTATATGGCCATTAGCCCCATCCTGCTAAACCATTTTTTAGGGTGATTTTCCACTACAGCACTTAAAATATTTTCAATGATATCCCTATATCACACACCAATAAAAATAAAATAAAAACTATTTTTAATTGTGTTCCTTCGTGAAATTACCCATGATGAATCTCCCAAGACACAGCTATAATATGTATTATTTAAGATAGTGCTTATTCTATGCAACAATGTATCAATATAAAAACAATGCTAGCATTTGTCTTCAGATCCCACAACGAGGCTTAACCAGGCCATTGATTTAAAGGGATACTGTAGGAATTGAAAGCTGTATTCCTGGCACTACCGATCCGTCTGCCTTCCCCCTCTCTGGAGCCACCACCCCATCCCGGTATATAAAGGGTTAAAAACTCTTCATTAACTTACTTTATCCCAGCACCGAGGGTCTAATGCGCGGAAAATGCTGTGCGCCCATTAGACCTCCCCATAGGACAGCACTGAAACAATGTTTTCCTACAGGGAAAAATCTGATGCTGGAGGTCCTCATGCAGAGCGTGAGGACGTCCAGTGTCAGATAAAGGACCAAAAGTCTGTTATGATTCCGGAAGCGCCCCTAGTGGCTGTCTGGTAGACAGCCTCTAAGGGCAGACTTAGTGCTGCAATGTAAACATTGCAGTTCTCTGGAACTGCAATGTTTTACACTGCACCACTAGGTGCAAAAGGGAAATAGCACCCAGACTACTTCAACAAACTGAACTGGTCTGGGTGCCTATAGTGTCCCTTTAAGCATTTCTCTTACCTTCAATACAATTAGTTCTAAATAACAGTAAAAAATAAGTTTGCAAGTAATTGTTCCATTTATTGCCATATAGGTGGGTTCACTTATTTATATTTATTACATTAAACTTACTTACAGGTAAAGTTTATAGTAATTTATATACTTGGAATACGCTTTATGTGAAATTAACTTTTCAGATTTAATAACTAGCAACTGCAATACAGCAAGAAATCACATTGTTAAGGGGTTAATTTGAGAAGACAGGCTCATTCATTTAAAAGGAGTAATTACTAATAATTAATCCAGAATAGGCCATCGATTTAAATGACAACAAACATGCCTTACTGAGATGAACAAAAGACTAGACCTTGGGTTTTGTCCCTGAATCAAAAGAGGCCAATGGACTGTTTTCAAACTAAGGGCATCTTTGTGCTTCAAAAATTCCAAAATTATCTCAGCAGTGTCACTTCAAAATTCACACCGGCAGAAGAAAGATTTGCGGGATATGAGTTTCAGGAGAAAAAGCGTATTTCAAAGTCATTTCAACACGTAGAAAAGGATTCCTTTGTTGGCTCAGAAGGAAACACATCTTCTCTGAGTCTTGAAAATTCTAAGTGCACACAGGGCCAAAATACAAAAAAAAACCCACACAGGATGGGCTATGTATCAAGCAGTCTTCTCAAGCACATTGTAACTCATCAATTATTTAATATTCTGTCCTTTGCAGCCACATAAGGTCATTCATCAAAGCATTCCAGCTGCAAGACGAAAATAAATTTATCACAAAAAACATCCAATTATATTCATTGGATGTTTGCTGTTTGCCATTAATACCTAGCGGTAGTGTTGATTTTCATAGGACTGGAATAATAAAAAGAAATAGGATTTATTAATCTAATTTACACATTACACAGTTTTATATCTCGTTTGGTTACAGTATAAACATTCTCCTACTCTAATCTTTATTGTGTTTGGGCTCGAGAAGCTGGCACTGGGTGTGTAGGATCATTAGAGAAGTGAACATATTGTTCATAAAGCGAGAGTTATAAATTTTAATATCTTTTTGGCAGTGGTATATTGATCAAGAGAGACATGTATCAAAAAGATATAACAGAATCACGAAACAGACACTTACACATGATAAGTTCTGAATGGACTGTTCCTGACACTGACATCCTCTTGCAAATTTATATATACATTCTGATTGTTAAACTAATATATATAGAGTAGAGCATACTAGAGTATTTTTTTAATGTAGCAGTTTTCAATAATTTAAAACACTTTTCTCATCTTAATATTCATCAATTGTTTGTGGTGAACAGCTGTCACCAGAGTAACACAAAGTCATTTGGTTAAAGATATGCATCCAAGATGGAGGCACCAGCAGTTAATGTGACCTAAGTGTTAGTGGCTACAGTTTTGGAATTTTGATTTTATCACACAGTCTAATCATTCACCTACTCTTTATTTGTCTGTAATGCATATTGAAATAACATGACCACTAGTGATGTCGCGAACCGTTCGCGAACTTGCCGCGAACGGTTCGCCGCGGTTCGCCACGAACCGTTTGCGGCGAACTCCGGTCAGCTGACACATCCCTGCCAATCTCCGGCAGACCCTCCCTCCCAGATCCTCCCACCTCCTGGACAGCATCCATGTTGAAGCTGCCTTCAACATGGATGCTGTCCAGGAAGTAGGAGGGTCTGGGAGGGAGGGTCTGCCGGAGATTGGCAGGGATGTGTCAGCTGACCGGAGTTCGCCACGAACCATTCGCGGTGAACCGCAGCCAACCGTTCGCGGCAAGTTCGCGAACGGTTTGCGACATCACTAATGACCACTTATTGGCCTTTGACCAGACCTGGATTCTCCTTGTCTGCTGCCTGTATTGATCTTTTCTGGACCTCAGCTCTACAAATTTCTCATACCCTTTGCATGGGCGTCCGCAGGAATTTTTCCGGGTGGGGAGGGGGGGCATAATTGTAATGACATCCATGCTTGGCCCCTTTTTGACAGTGTCATGAAAGGGAAGGGACATAGTCATTATCACATAAAGCCAGGGTGAATAGCGTTTTCACAACTATGGTGTCAGGAATACATGTTTGTATTCCTGACACTATAGTGTTCCTTTAATCAAATTAAAGGAACATTCTGGTCACCATAACAACTTCATCTAAATGAAAATGCTATGATGCAAGGAGGCCCCTTTCCTTTAAGGGGTGAAAATCCAGATCTCCAGGTCGCTCAGTGGTATTTGGCGTCTGAAACGGAGTGTCAGGAAGTGCAGATTGACGTCAGGCATGGGTGCCGCTGATTGGCTAGAGTGGTCAGCTGTCGCTCTAAGCCAGTCGCTAGTTCCCGATTCATAAAAATGTTTTACGTTTTTATGAATGGGGAGCTACTGATTGGCTTAGAGTGCCACCTGACCCTCTAGCCAATCAGCGGCACCCCTACCCAGCGGCCCTCTGTGTTTCCTGACACTCAGTAAATAAAAGTGAACACATTAACACTGATATTTTTTTTTACCTGGGGAGATGAGAAGGCCAAAGTTTCCCTGCCAGGCCCAGGTACCAACTCCTTATGATGTGGTGTCCAGAATGAAGTGCTTCAATCTCATGTTCTTCTCCTTCATTTGACACAGTCTTCTTTTTCTTCTGAGGCTTCTTCTGCTCCTTTACCTTTCTGCTACTTTCTGCTTATTTTGCGCCCTTCTGCTCCTTTCTCTTTCTGATCCCTTTCTGCTCCTTGCAGACCCTTCCTTCTCATTGCTGCCCCTTCCAGCTTCTTGCAGCCCCTTTCTGTTCCTTCTCCTATTTTACCGTTGTGCTGCTTTTGATTCTTTCTGCCCCTTCCTGCTCCTTGCTGACCCTTCCTGCTCCTTGCAGACCCTTCCTACTCCTTGCTGACCCCACCTGCTCCTTGCAGACCCTTCCTGCTCCTTGCTGCCTCTTCCTACTCCTTCCCCTCTTGCTCCTTGCAAACCCTTCCTACTCCTTACTGATCCTTCCTGCTTCTTGCTGTTTCTTCCTACTCCTTGCTGACCCCTCTTGCTCCTTGCTGACCCTTCCTGCTCCTTGCTGACCCCTCCTGCTCCTTGCTGCCCCTTCCTGCTCATTTCTACTTTAACCTCCTGCTCCTTGCAAACCTTTCCTACCCCTTCCTGCTTCTTGCTGCCCCTTTCTATTCCTTGCTGTCCCCTCCTGCCCCTTGCAGAACCTTTTCTTGCTGACCCCTCCTGCCCCTTGCAGAACCATTTCTACTTTACCTTCCGCTATGCTGTCTCCCCCCCATGCCTCACTTACCTGATCTGTAGGCTGCCCCCCATGCCTCACATACCTGATCTGTAGGCTGCCCCCCCTCACTTGCCTGATCTGTAGACTGCCCCCTCTCACTTACCTGATCTGTAGTCTGCCCCCCATCCCTCACTTACCTGATCTGTAGGGTTGCTGGCTGCATGCTCCCCTGCAGATTCAGTCAGGAGAGAGAAGCAGGGATAAGCTGTAGCTTCCTGCCTTTCTCCATTCACAGCGCCGGTATTGCAGTGTATTCTCTGCAGTGCCCCCCCCCTTGCCCCCCCCTGCAGACGCCCATGCTTTACTCCCTTGGCACTGAATTCCTCCTCAATATTTCTAAATGGGTCATTTTGTCCAGTTGTTTTTCCTTCTAAGCAAAAACATACACTGGGTGGAGAACTCTTTAGAACAAAAACGATAATATACAAATATATAAATACAATACTTTCCTCTCTTCTTAAATTATTTCTGTTTCTGACAAAGTAAATGAGAGGAACAAGTAATAGTGCAGATAAACTTCTTACACCACCAGGATGTATAACATGTAGTAGGAGTGCACTCACAAATAAAATCATATATAATAAATATAAATTAAAACAAAGCTTGAGTGCAATAAGTCCAATCACAAAAATGCGTTTCATCAAATTCGGCTTCCTCAGTTGAACTGAGGACAACAACTGAGGAAGCCGAATTTGGCGAAACACGTTTTGGTGATTGGACTTATTTTTATTTTGTTTTTACTTTTTAAGAATAAAGTGTGATTCTGTCTACCCATCTGAGAATCATCTGTGTTCTTCAAGAGGAGGGAATTTCTTACTCCACATTGATTCCTACGGGGTGAGGATATACACTTGTGCTCATAAGTTTGCATACCCTGGCAGAAAGTTTGGCATTGATTTTGAAATTATGACTGATCATGCAAAAGTATATGTCTTTTATTGAGGTTAAAATGACAATTAAACATTAACTTCCCACACCTGGGTTTTTTTAAATTGCAATAAGTGTTTGTGTATAAATAGTCAATGAGTTTGTTAGCTCTCATGTGGGTACACTGAGCAGTCTAGACACTGAGCCGTGGGGAACAGAAAAGAACTGTCAAAAGACCTGCGTAACAAGCAATGGAACTTTATAAAGATGGGAAAGGATATAAAAAGATATACAAAGCCTTGAAAATGCCAGTCAGTACTGTTCAATCACTTATTAAGAAGTGGAAAATTCCACTTCCCGTTCCCCCTCCCCCACTCTTCTCCCCCTTCACCCTTGCCCCCCTTCCCACACACCCTATCTCACACACACACACAGGCAGACAGCCACACACACACACACACACACAAACACACGCAGGCAGTCACACACAGACAGCCACACACAAACAGCCACATACACACACAGACATAGAAACATAGAATGTGACGGCAGATAAGAACCATTCGGCCCATCTAGACTGCCCAGACAGTCACACATAGGCAGTCACACACACACACACACACACACACAGGCAGACAGCCATACACACACAAACACACAGGCAGGTAGTCACACACAGACAGCCACAAACAAACACACAGGCAGAAAGCAACACACACACACACAGGCAGACAGACAGCCACACACACACACAGAGGCTGACAGCCACACACACACACAGACATAGAATGTGACGGCAGATAAGAACCATTCGGCCCATCTAGTCTGCCCAGACAGTCACACATAGGCAGGCACACACACACACACACACACAGACACACACACACACACAGGCAATCAGTCATACACACAGACAGTCACACACACAGGCAGACAGTCATACACACAGACAGTCACATACACAGGCAGACAGTCATACACACATACAGTCACACACACACACACATACACACTGTGACGGAAAGCTGGCACTCCGACTGAGTACCTCCGCCAATCGATGCTCCTAGTGCTCGCTGAGGACTCCAAGCACTCCAACCGACACCATCAGCACTGCAGACCCCACTTCCAGCGATGCAACTGCGCTGGGGTCTCTGCTGTCTCCACCCACCCTGGACCCAAGGCCAGGATCCAGCTTCCAGTGGGTGAACCTCTCTTTCCCCAGAGAGCAGGAACATGAACAAATCAAGCTATTGCAAGAGCTTCCTCTGGGGAGTAAGTGATTATAGCAATCCCCAGAGTGTAGGTATCCCTTCCCCCAAACATGAGCCAAGCAGTCCCCTCCAGGCACAAGTGGCGAAGGGCACTTTGTCACACACACAAAAAAGGGCAGACAGTCACACACACAGGCAGACTGTCACACACACACAGGCAGACAGTCAAACACACAGACAGTCACACACAGGCAAACAATCACACATAGTTACCTCTGTTCCTTGTGGAGGCAGACAGACAGTACAGCTCCTGGATTCTGGTTGTTGGGGGAAGCAGGGACTCCTTCCTGCTTCCCCTGCAGCAGTTACACTGCACTTTAAACTCCGCCCCCTGGCCGGCCATGTGTGAGCTGTGTTGGCCGCACGGCGCCCCCTGCTTCATGGTGCCCTGTGCGGCAGCACAGCTCACACACCCCTAAGGCCGGCCCTGAATACAATCCCAACTGTGAAGCATTATGGTGGCTCTAAAGGCACAGGGAATGTTGTGAAAATTGATGGCAAGATGAATGCAGCATGTTATCAGAAAATACTGGCAGACAATTTGCATTCTTCTGCATGAAGGCTGCACATGGGACGCTCTTGGACTTTCCAGCATGACAATGACTCTAAGCACAAGGCCAGGTTGACTTGGATACAGCAGAAAAAGGTGAAGGTTCTGGAGTGGCCATTACAGTCTCCTGACTTTAATATCATCAAGCCACTCTGGGAAGATCTCAAATGCGCAGTTCATGCAAAACGACCAAAGACTATCTATGCATGACCTGGAAGCATTTTGCCAAGACGCATGGGCAGCTATACCAGCTGCAAGAATTAGGGACCTCATAGGCAACTATTACAAAAGACTGCACACTGTCATTGATGCTAAAGGGGGCAATACACAGTATTAAGAACTAAAGGTATGCAGACTTTTGAACATTTTTTTTCTTTGTTGCCATCTTTTGTTGGCAACAAAAGTTGAATATGAATCCCATAAGAAATAAAAGAAATGTGTTTTGCCTGCTCACTCGCGTTTTCTTAAAAAATTGTACATATATTACCAATTCTCCAAGGGTATGTAAAATTTTGAGCACAAATGTGCATATGAGTAGCTGTGAGGGGCAAGATAACCAGCGAGAGGCTGAGAGCATTATCTTCCTCATTAGCTGAGCACCAGAGTCAGGGTGACAGATATCTGGGGACTCTACTCTACAAATGTTTTAACATTGCAAAGAAACACATCACAAGGGACTCCATGCACCATAACCACTTAATTAAGTTAAAGTCGTTATAAATCTTGGAGTTTAGCTTTAAGCTTTTTTCCATGCATATTCAGGAAGAGCA